ATCAGCTTCAGATGCATAGTGTTGTATTTGTCTGACGCGTCCCACATCCCAGAGGCATCTTGGCTGCAGCCTTACTTTACTGGCCACAGACCATTCCTTCCCCATGTAGTTACTGAGCAGTTTTATAGGCACACTGTGAGCTCAGCAGTCCTGTGGGCATGGAGCCCTGGTCCGGGGGAGGCAGAGGTGACAGACATTAGGTCACACTTAGAGACTGGCACTGTTGTGTGGAGTCAAAGGGCTGGGGACTGGGGTTCAGAATAATAGAGGGGACCTAACCTAGATGTGGCCAAGAGGGCCCTCTCTGGGGAAGTGGCTCCTCTCCCAGAGACCTAGTGCCCCCTGAGTGTGGAGGACACATGCATGGGCGGAACTTTCTGCTGGGTTGGCGCATCGGTGGTGACCCTGAGTTCCTGCCTCTGGGACAAGGCAGCCAGGCTGAGAGACGGCACACACCGCAGGATCGCCACATAGGAGATGGCTGCCCTATGGTGGGGCACTCATGTCACTTGGAGGACAGACTGTCCCAAATCCGTTTGGTTCTGGAATATCCTGGCTGGATTTGTGGGAAAGGAAGCAAGAAAGAAACCATTAGAATAATAAGTGTGGGCAGAAGGAGGCCAGAAGTGGATACTGGTTCCCCTCGGGAAGAGGGGGACTGCCTGAGGGCCACAGAGCAGGGACAGGTGGCGTTGGTTAACGGGAGACATCTGTTGGGTGAGTGCGTGGAGGGGCGGGGGATGAGCAGGCAGCGTGGTTTACTGGAAAGTGTAGGCGCTGGGAGTCAGAGGCCCGGACTGTGCACTGGCTCCATCACTTACTGTCGGTATGATTCTTGGTGCCACGTTTCATCTTCGTTTCCATAAAACTAAGGGGATGGACCCAGGGCTCCCTGAGCTGTTCCTGCTCCAGCTCTACTGTCGTCTGAGGCCCTGGCCTATGTCTTTTCTACTGAACCTCCTCCCCGGCCTCACCTCAGGGTGCAAGAAGGCTCCCCTCCCTCTAGCCCAGAAGCGAAGTCACGATATCACAAATTGCCACCTTCACAGACTGCTCTCCCTACAGCACCCCCCAAGTCCCCTGAATCACGCTGTGTCTGTGATGGGAACCCCATTTTACAGATGAGGATGCTGAAACTCAGAACTTAAGTGGTAGCTGATAAGTATCAGGTGGCACTACAGTAGCTCTGGCTGAGGTGCAACCCCTACTCCCTCCGGCCTGCACTGCTGGAGCCTACACAGCCCCAGGGAGCCCCAAGCAGGGCTGGGCGGGGCCCTCCAGAGCGCTGATGTCCCTCCCCTTCCGGGGCAGGTCTGAATGGGATGAACAGCAGCATCTGGGAGCATTTTGCCTCTGGAAGCTTCTCCCCAGGCACTTCCCCCGCCTTCCTGTCGGGGCCGGGGGCTGCCGAGCTGGCCCGGCTTCGGCAAGAGCTGGACGAAGCCAATGGCACCATCAAGCAGTGGGAAGAGTCCTGGAAGCAGGCGAAGCAGGTACTGGGCCCCCATGTCCCCCTCCCACATGCTCTGGTAGCGTCCAGTTCGAGCCTATCTTCCACAGTGGGCACGGGTTGGGGAGGCCAGGGCTCTGGGAGAGAACAGAGCTGAAACTCAATTTTGCTCTCTCTCCACCTGGAAAGAGTTGCCTTGGCAGTCAGGACCCTAGGGCGGCTGGTGACCCAGACCTGGAACTCCCTCTGAGGGCTGGTCCCACACAGCACCACTTGGCTCTCCCCGGAAGCCCTGACTCTCCCCGGTTCCAGCCTGCGTTCTAGGCTCTGAGACGGGCCCTCTGTCCAGGGCAGCTATGCCGGACCCAGCCCCCTTCCCTGCCCACCAAGGGCCTCTTGCACGTCCTGCAATCTCTTCTCCGCAGGCAATGTCAGCGTCCTCCCTGCCCCTCCCCAGACCGCTAACCCAGCTCCCCATCAGGCCCAGCCACAGCTACAGTGGCTCATACAGGCTCCTGGAGATACACTCTGGGGCCAGGGGGCAGGGGGTCATCGTGACCAGGTGCTGCGTGTTGGGCCCACAGGCTTGTGATGCCTGGAAGAAGGAGGCCGAGGAGGCCGGTGAGCGGGCCAGCGCGGCGGGTGCCGAGTGCGAGCTGGCCCGGGAGCAGCGGGACGAGCTGGAGGTGCAGGTGAAGAAGCTACAGGAGGAGTTGGAGCGGCTCCATTCAGGGCCCGACCCGCAGGCCCTGCCCGCCTTCTCGGACCTGGAGGCCCTCTCGCTCTCCACCCTCTACTCCCTCCAAAAGCAGCTGCGAGCCCACCTGGAGCAAGTGGACAAGGTCAGCCCGGGAGGTTAGGGGAGCACTGGGTGGGAGTGGACAGTGGTCTCAGCCAGTGTTTGGACCCTGGTGGGTCCACACTACCCCAGAGCTGGCCACCCTCCTGAGAGTCTCTGCCCAGCCCCTGGGCCGACACAAGATGCTGGAGAATGTCCCTCCCCAGAGAAGTGGATGGTCTGTGCCACCCCAGCACTTCGTTTTTTTTTTTTTAAAGATTTTTATTGGGGAATTGGTGGGGTGGGAACAGTGCTGGGGAATTGGGGGGAAGGGGAACAGACAAGTTGCTGTTCTTTTGTTCTTCAGTCTAGTTGTGGAGGGCGTTGCTTCACTGGCCCAAGTTGGCACCATCATTGCGCTCTTCCTGGGCAAGGCAGATCAGTCGCTGGCTTCTGGACGGCTGCTCACTGCGGCTGCTGGCCGCTCACGCTGGCTGCTGGCTACACACGGTAGCCCATGGCAACCCACTGCCACAGGGGCTGCAGCCTACGCCGTCGCCGGCGACTCACAGCAGCCCAGCTCCAGGTTGAGCTGTTGTTCAGCATCTTAGCTGTAGAGGGCAGTGTCACTGGCCCTCATATGTGGGATCCGAACCGGGGCCCTCTGGCGTCCCAAGCCAGTTCTTAACCATCGCGCCACTCGGCCAGTCCCCACCCCAGCACTTTTGAGGGCAGGTGCTGACCTGAGCTGACTCTCAGGTGTCTGGGCTCTAAGTCGCATCCTGACAGCTTCTGTGGGCTCTACTGGGACCAGCAGACATTCCAGAATGGTTAGGTCCCCAGGGCTACTCTGCATTCCTAGGTGCCCTGTTGGGCCCCAGGGGAGCTGGCACAGTAGAAAGAGCCTTCTTTCCTTCACTAGGCCTTTGGCAGCCAGGCCCCCCACCCCCACCCCCGGGCTCTGACTCGCACACTCAGCCCGCAGCCAAACCCGAAAGCCGAAAAGCCGAAATAGGAGCCTTGAGGCAATTGGCCTGAATATAACCCTGCTGTCTCACTTGCCAGCTGGGTCCTGTGAGAGTGCTGTTGAGCTCTGCGCCTCACTTTCCTTACCGCAAGGGGGCTGATGTGAGGGAATGTGTCGGACCCAGGGCTAGGGCAGCAGCAGAGACCCGGCCAGTGACCACGATGTCTCTTTTCCCACAGGCTGTGTTCCACATGCAGTCGGTGAAATGCCTTAAGTGTCAGGAGCAGAACCGAGCAGTGCTGCCGTGCCAACATGCCGTGCTGTGCGAGCTCTGTGCCGAGGGCAGCGAGTGCCCCGTCTGCCAGCCAGGCCGGGCCCACTCCCTCCAGTCGTGACCCTGCAGGCCTGGCTCCGGCCTGGCTCAGATCTTCTCACCTAGGACTTTTTAAAGTATATATATATATGTATGTATGTATGTATGTATGTATGTATGTATATGTATATTATTATGGATATGTATACATTTCTGTATGTGTGCAGGTATGCGTGGGCGGCCAGTGTGTGAACAGTGTCTGTGTGTATATCTGTATATAGATATAGACACACACTTTAAAACAGACTTACCAAGCACTTTTTAAAAGAAGAAACTATTTTGCAGTCCTCCCCCTGCCCACTCCCTGCCTTCCCCACTTTCCCCTCTTCTCCCACCGGCCTTTTGGCGGGGATCTGTTTCTGTCTTTTTTTATGTAGGAACTAACTATTTTTAACTTCTTCCTGGGGCCTGAGCAGGGAAAGGTGGGAAGCTAGAAGGGGCTGTGGGGAGGGGACAAGCCTTCCGGGCAGGCCCTGTTCACCCTACCTCCCCGGGCCAGGGTGAGAGCCAGGGGTATGGAGGCCCCAGGCAGACCCGGTTCCCAGCGGTGAGGCCTGAGGGGGTGTGCTGCGGGTCCAGACCAGCCTAGCTCCTAAGTTTACCAAATGTGTATTTGGTTTGGGGCTGTCAGGCCCAAGCTGCGGGGCCAGCCCTGCTCCCACTCTGGGCCCTTGAAGCCCCTCAAGGGGCAAGGCCCGGGAGTTCTACCCCTCAGGTTCCTGAGGCCAGGGGGTCTGCCTCAATCCTCACCCCTGGGTTTCCAGAGCAGCCTCCCTTGCCTCAGGGCCACCTACCAGGCTGGCACTGCCCTCTCCGTCACCCCCAGCTGCCTTCAGCTGGCCCCCCCTTCTGGCACAGCCTCCGTGCTCTCCGCCCCCTCCCTCTGGCAGCTAGCAGGGCAATTGGTAGGGAGGAGCTGCGGACTGTGAGGACCAGGGGGGCTCAGCCCTGGCCTCCTTGCCAGGAGGGGCTCCGTATGCATTCCTTGGTGCTCTCTGAGTGCAGCTGACGTCCTGCCCCGTTGGAGCAGACGCCTGTGTGCATGTGTGTGCGTGCCTGTCCAATGTATAGTGTGTCTTAGCTTCCATTTTAAAAATTGTTCTGTACAGAGAGATGCATAGGGGGAGGGAGTGCAGAGCGGGCAGAAGGCAGCCACCCCGCTCCCAGCGCTGGGTGTCTGGGGTGGGAACAAGAGGGCTGCAAAGGATCTGGCCCCAGCCTCCCCTCCCTTGGGCTCAGCACGAAAGGGCTTTCGATGAATTAAGTGAAAACTTTCTTTTTTTACAAAAATGCAAAAATCAACAAAGCTCCAAACCTATTGGAAATAAAATATGAACTTGCATGGTAGCGTGTTTAGATGGGGTGAAGAGTGGGGCCCCAGAAGAGGGCTCTGAACTCTGAGGTGGGCCAGTCAGCTGTCCCATCCCAGGTTCCTGCCCGACCTGGGCTGGGAGCCCTGTCTCAGCCATGGCAACGGCTGGTGTCCCACCCCTGAGGTGTGGCCAGGTCGCTGCAGAGGCCTAGAGGCTCCCTGGGCCCATCCAGGTTCCTAGACAGCCCAGTGCTCTACCCCGGCCGACTGTGCTTGAGTGATAGGGACGCAGAGACCTCTCAGCCCTGCAGCTGCCCTCTCCCGGCTCCCTTGACAGCTGTCACTGGTTTACTTAGTGCTGTTTTTCCACAGGACAGCGGGGCCCCTAGTTTCTCAGGAACAGACAGCGCCTTCCCATAAAAGCATTAAAAGAAAGGTGGGCCCTTGAGGAGGTGTCCTTCCTTCCATCCTACCTCACTCTACCCTGAGGGCTAAGGGTCTCGGCCTTTGAGTGCCCCACTGCCCTCAGCTGGCCCGTTCCGTGGGTGTGAGAAAACACAGCTACTGGGCTCTTCCCTGTATGGGTCTCAGAGGTTCAGAGCTGAAAGGGGCCGTGGAGACGACCTACCGATTGTCCTGGTGTGGTCTCAGAGAGGTTAAGTGACTCAACCAGGGTCACAGCTAGAATGACCACCAGCCTCAGGCTCACTCCCAGCACAGGCCACCTCCCCTCAGGCAGGGCTGGGACCCCGCTCCGCCTCAGCCTGGGAGGCCCCCCGCTCCTGTGCTCCCCCTTTGCTGGGCAGCAGCCACAGAAGCAGATGTGTCTGGTAGGGTTTTGTCCAAAGCCCTTGGCCCAGACACCAGTAATGCCAGTTGCCCCAGCACCTGCTTCTGCATCGGTGCCCCCACACCCACCTTCCTGCTCTGTAAACGGGGGAGTGAGCTGTGGGCCAGGCCCCAGGGTGGGGGCAGCTCAAGGTGTCCTGAGGGCTGTGGAGGACATTTGCGTGGCCTGACTGATCCGGGCCCCACTGCTGGCCAACAATACATTTTCTAAGGGGACAATAGATTGCTTTTTTTTATTTTTTCATTTTATTTTTGCTAAGATAAAAGTGCCTGCTACTGGCCCAGGGAGATGTCCTCAGTAGATATGGTTAGCCAAGCTGTCCTTTCTGCTCCCGCCCCTCCATGCCAGCGCCACGCCTGCAGGCTCTCACCTCTCAGCCAGAAGGTCCCTGACTCTAGGCTCCTTAGCCCGGGTGTTGGCAGCCCTCTCAGGAGAGGACCCAGGCTCCTTTCCTTATAGTTGCCACCCCCACCCTCCAGGGCAGCTGTAGCCTCATCTTTGGCAGGGCCTGCTCGCCCTCCCGCAGGAGGGAGGCTCTGTGCACACAGCCCTGGGGTGCTGAAGAATCGGCCTGGTCCCCACCCCGGTGCCTGGACTAGGCATGCCGGGGACAGATGGCTGAGCCCCTGCCCTGCCGGAGCAGGGGCAGGAGAAGCAGACAGCTGCCTCCCCTCCCCCAGTGCTGGGATTGGCTGAGGCCAGGGCCAGAGGGAGGGGGGAGGGAGTATAAATACTATTGATGGTTTCCCCATCACCGCGGGGCCCTGCTCTGGCAGGAGACCGGTGCGGGTCTGCAAGCTGGAGCTCCCCAGACCTGCAGGGCCCTTAGAGTGTTAGGCCAGGCTGGAGGGATCCACTGTGGTGGGCAGAATCCAGGCCTGCCAGGAAAGCCTGTCCCTACCAGGCATTCATCGTCATCCCCAACCTCCGCTGCTATCGCCCTGGTCGCGGGGCATGCTGGGAGGCCTGCTTCGCTCGCTGCCGCCGCAGCTTTACGAAGCCCTGGGCCTCACGGTCACCCTTCCGGCTCTCCAACAGCTGCAGGATTGGGTCCCCTGTGAAGAGAGGCATTTGGGGGTCAGGTTCTGGGGGAGAGGCAGTGCCTGGGTAGTGGCAGGGAACAGCTCTCTGCCCATTCTCCAGCCAACCTGGAAACTAGGGATGGACCCACACCAGCCAAGATCATGAGACACGTCAGCCTGACGACGACAGGAGAAACCCTCGCCACCTCTGGCAAGAGGACGCTGGCTCAGACACTGACCCGGTTGCACTGCAAGAGGCTGAGATGTGCCTCAGGTTGCGACTATTACCTTTTCATATGGAAACCTCAGGCTAGCTATTGTAGTCAACCTCTTGTGCTTTAGTTTACTCATCTGTAGAATAGCAATAATATATCTGCTTCTTCTGGGTAAGGATGCAAAGTTAATATATGTCAGGTGCATAGAACGGGCCCATACGTGCACAAACATGACCTATTCCTATAATCAAGATCCAGCCCCTCTCCCCAGGTAAATTTGGTGATGTTCCCCCACCAGAGAAAGTCACACTACACGTGGTCTACCTCAAATTACACTGATTTCTTGGTTAGACTGAGATCTACTCATCCACACAAGTCACCATGCTGGCTCCACTGCTTCCACCTCTGAGGAGGGATTCCTCGGACCCCAGCTTCACCTTCCTGGGGGCCCCTGCCTGAGCCTTTACAGGCTGTCCCTCCCCTGGCCCAGCCCCACACCCCACTCGCAGCCTCATGGCTACTGCCCTGCCCCGGGGCGCAGGCCTACCGTTGGGTGGGGGGTAGGTGAGGGGCAGGCGGGTCTGAGGCACCTCCGCAGCCTCCTCTGTCCCAGTCAGGCCTGGCACCGAGCACAGTGGCAGGAAGGCCTCCCCTTCCAGGTCATCAGCCCCTAGCGTGTCATGGTCCAGCACCGTGAGCAGGAGGCACGCTCCGTCCTTCTGGCATGACTCGGCAGGCACCAGGCTGGGTGGGGGACAGTCGGGCTCAGCTGCCAACCCCCCACACACATGGGTTCACCCCGACAGGCCAGGGCTGGGAGAAAGATACTACAGAGGCGGGGGGGGGGGGTTGCCAAGTCTGTTCTCAGCCTGGCATAGCTCAGGCCACATAGTCTGATGCCTGCTCTGGCTGATGCTTTAAACCAGGGGGTTCGCCAGTCTTAGGGAACAGAGGACCTCAGACGGGTCCTGAAGAACCCTCCCCTGGAAGCACCATGTGGGAGTTTTCTCCCAGTCTCACCCCACCTCCCAGGGGCCAGGTTTGGTACCTGTGCCAGCAAACCCTTGTCCCAGAAGCCCTCTCCCTTGGCCCCAGCGGAAAGGAGCAGGCCTGAGGCAGGTCCAGGGCTGGGGAAGTGCGGCAAATGTGGGAACCCACTCACAATTCAAAGGTCTCATCAAACAGCGGGTGAAGGTCCTTCTTGTGCTTTTGGGTCTCCCGAGGGGCCAGCTCAGGGAACTCGTGCCTGGGCTCCAAGGTAAGTTGGACAAAGGGGTCGCTGGAGCCTGGCAAGTGACCCAAGGAGAGTATGATGGACAAGGATATCCTAGCCCTCCAGCCAGCCACCATGCCCTGCAGCTGTACCCCGCTCAGCAGCACTGCCCCCTCCTGGTAATCCAGAGAAATGCACTCAGTGCTCCTGCCGAGGACCAGAGATGGGGCAGGGCGGAGACGCGGAGTGGCCAGTGGGCAGCCTCCACTCACCGTTGGAGTCCAGAGGCAGCAGGCTGGAGGCGCTGAGCAGCTCCACATGCAGCTTCTGCTCAGAGGCGCTGTAGGAGGCCTTGACTGTGACAGCCCCGAGCTCCTCAGAGGTGGTTTCAGCCTGGGGGTGGGGCACACGGGCAGCGTCAGCTGCTGGGGCAGAGCAGGTGAGGCGGGTCTCCAGGTGCACAGTGAGTGTGGCAGAGGAAAGGAGCCTCACCTGCTGCTGGATGCGGCTGCAGAAGTACTTCTGGATGAGCTCCCGGCTGGAGGTTGCCTGCAGCTCCAAGTCCCTCAGCAGAGCCTGGGAATGGGGCCCAGCCGATAAATCACCTGAACTGCAACACTCAATCACAGCCCGGTGATTCAGGAGCTCCCAGCCGAGAGGGGTGACATCAATTTGGCATAGAAAGCACTGGGTGGGCTTCACAGATATGCCACCCCTGCAGTTGCACAGCACGCCCTCCACTGTGCTTAAAACCTCAGGCTTGTTTCAACCCCCTGCTGTTGCTGTCTTAACACTTTAATTTTTGAAAAAGAGGCCCACATTTTCCCTTGGTGCTGGGCCCTGTAATTATGTAGCTGGTGAGCTCCCTCAACCCCAGGCACACCAAGAGGCCCCTACCTGGAAGGTGGCCGTGTGCAGGGCCTCGGGCGGCAGGCCACAGCCCTCTGCGTAGAAGCAGATCTCCAGGTTCTGGGGGTGAGTGAGACATCAGACGTGCCCATGCCCACTCCCCCCAGGGTTATTATTGTTGTCACTGGTGTTATTACCTGCAGCGCGATCTTCAGCCTGCTAGAGGCCAGGGGGCAGCTCCGCTGGGAGGTAGCCGCGTCCACCAGCACTGTGAGCGTGTGGGTCCAGAGCAGGGTCAGAAGGCTGAGGTGAGGTGCCGCACACAGGAAGGGAAGACGGGAGACAGGAAGCAGATGTTCTTGAGAGAGGGGCAGCCCCGTGGGACCCAGGCCCACCCACAGCTCCTCCCCATCCCCAGCCTCCACCTCCACCTGCTCCACAGGTGAGCCTGGGGGCAGGGCCACAGGCAGGCAGTGTAGCAAGGGCTGGTCCCCTGAGCGAAGGACCAACAGGGGCAGAGGGGGCCAGTCCTATCCAACCTGTCTCCCAACCTAGTGATGAAGCCTTCTCAGGGTTATCAAACCCCAACAAACAAGGTGTGGAGGAGGCTGGTCCCCCAGTGACAGAACCAGGAGTCAAGATGGACATGGCCAAATGAAGAGGATTTCAACATGTGGCATGGATAAGCATCTGCGACCTCTGGGGAGAAAAAAGTAGCAACCACACCACAGTCCTAATAACTAACTAACTACCAGAGATAACTGAAATTTCACATGTCAAAGCAGACTCAGGCAGTTAATTACAAAAGAAATGTGTAATTAAGAATGGGGGAGGTCTATATTAAAAGTAGTTCATTTATCCAACATACCTAAGTGTTTATTATGCACCAGACACTGTTCTAATGGCTACTGCACCGCCTGGAGCACAGCAGAGCTGGCAGAGGGGCCAGCAGCCTCCTTGGGCCCAGATCCGTGTGGAGGACCTATCATCATTATCATCACTGTCACCATTGTCACTGCAGCTCACAGACCACTTCCTTTGTACAGGCACTGCCCTCGGCCTTTCACATGACTCCTTTAGTCCTTAATAGAGGCCAGAACTATGACCATCTGCACAGAAAACTTGAGTAATCTGCTCAAGGCCACCGACCGAGCAGCAGGGAAGCTGGAGTCTGAATCCAGGCCGTCCAGAGCCCACGCCCTTGACTTTCTACCCCTGCTGCCTGGTTTGCTGGGGCCCTGCCCTAAGAGAGACTCTAACTAGAAGTTCCCCTGGATCGTGGGAGAGGAACACGAGTTGCCTGTGATGTTAGGAGGGCACAGCAGCAGTCACTGAGGCACCAAAGATGGGCCAGGGCTAAGGGAGAAAGGATAGGTAGGTTTCAGCTCAGCCTAAGGTGAGGTAGTGAGCTCCCTGTCCCTGGTGGCATCCTCCCCTGAGAATGGATGCTGAGGCCAGGAAGGAGGGGCAGGGGGAAGAGAAGGGAAGGGGGTGGGCGCCACAGGGCAGGCGGTTGCTGCAGACCTGCTGAAGTTCTCCTGCACCAAGTTGGTGTTCATGTAGCAGAGCTCCACCTCCAGGAACTTCATCAGAGGCAGAATGGCCTGGGGAGAGGGGCGGGCAGCACGTCCAGCTCTGGCCCATTCCAGTCCCACCCCATTCCTGGGCCCTGGCCCGGGGAAGAAACAGGGCCAGAGGCTTTTGTGTGCATCTTTGGAAGGTCTGCAGGAGCTGGCTCTGCCCACAGTTGGCTCCAGCCACACAGGCCTCCTCTATCGCCCTTGAACCTGCCAGGCATGGTCTGGCCTCAGGGCCTCTGCCCTTGCTGTTCCCTCCCCTAGAAATCCTCTTGTCTCCTTCTCTTCCTTTAGGTCTTGACTCAGTTGTCACCCACTAAGCAAGGCCTTCCCTGGCCACTATCTGAAAACACAACCCTCTGACACTCAATATGCCTTTTGTGTTTTATTTTTCTCTTTAACCCTTATCATTATCTAACACCCCATGTGTGTGTGCGCATATATACACATACACATACATGTAATGTTTATACTAACAGCTATAGCGCTAGTTACATGTACTTAGCTCTTCTGTCACCTCCCCTACTAGAATGTAAGCTCTAAGAAGGCAGAGATTGTGGTCATGGTGTTCACTGACTCAATCAATGCCTAAATCAATGCCTAGGTGCTTACATAGTTATCAATTAATGAGTCACCTTCTCCCAAACCAACAAAGGTGCACATTACTTCCCCCACTGACAGATGGGGAAACTGAGGGCAGCTGGCTTGCATGAACGGAACAGCTGTGCTGGTTGGCAGGTGAGAAGGATGCACGCCCAGGTCTGTTGGGCTGCAAAGTCCAAACCCTGCCCCCCTGCAGCCCCCACACTAACCATCAGTGCTGGGAGAGCCCGTGGAATATCCCAACCCTTCCCCCTTAGCATCCAAGGAAACAGGCCCAGGAGGGAACATTCCTTGCCCAAGTCTGGGGCACTTACCTCTGACTCCCCATGACCTTCAGCCCCCTGCCCACCCTGAGCCCCTTTGCAGTTCCAGACCCATAGCGCTGGCAAAGGTCAGCGAACAGGGAGGGACACTCACATCCTCAGGCAGGACAGAGTCCTTGACGCGCACGAGATTCTGGATGTGCTTGGCGATGCCCACCTCCAGCTGGGGATGCAAAATGGTAGCGGGGAGAGCAGGGCCTGAGTTTAGGTTCAGGAAGAGGTGGGGGCTAGACATCAACCCAAGTCCTGTGGGGGAGGGGGGGACTTAGACAGAGGATGGGTGGGGC